ACCTTGTCACAAAGGGGTTCCAGCATCAATTCTGACTCAGACAGTTCTTTCTTTTTCTTAGTTTTGGGTATGTGCTTCAATGACTGGCCACCAGCAACTGCCTACAGTAGAAACAGAAGCTGACAGCATCCAAATCTGTGCTCTGGGGTAAATGGAATACTTCAAAAACTGAAAAATGTCTAACCTTTGTGTTGCCCTTCCAACCACATTTTGCTCGGAAACACATCCATAAAGCAGCCCCTCTGAATAACTCAGATATTCCCATCATTAAATGCAGGAGAAAAAATCCATTTGATACCCAAAAAAGAAATAATTGGATGAAGAAAATGACTAGCAACAGACCCATCTTGCGTTGAGAAAAGAGATAAGCTCCTTTCTTCTGAATCACCGCCTTGGCACTAACAGTCAAAATAAAACAAGAGTATGAAATGCAACTCAAAAAGAAAGAACACAAACAATCACTTTCAAACCTCATTGAGAAATTGAGATGCTTGGTATGAGTGTATGAAAGTTGGTGGGCCAGTCCTATTTTGTGTCCTATTTTGTAGCCCAAAAATCTTCATGGACTTCTTAGGAAGAAGATTAAGATCAAAAATGCCAACAAAGCATCTAAGTCAATTAATTTGTACTCCCTCCATTCAAAAATGTAAGGCATTTTTTTGAGGACTTAGATGTTTAAAAATGAAAGGTATTTTAATTCTTTTGAGGTGTAATCATTACCTTTTTTCTAAAAATGCCCCTACTTTATAGATTACTTTATTTTTTGGGTATTTAATAGGGTAAATATGGAAAGATAAAACTAGTTGAAAGATAAGTAACTATTTTATTGAAGGGTGAATTCTGTTAAAAATGCCTTATATTTTTTAACGGAAAGAGTATTAAGTGAGCAATAAAAGCTCTTTCTATGAAATGACCACCCATTAAAGGATGGCCGCAGAACATTTTCAAACCACCAACATTTTCTTTTGTTTTGTCTATGTTTTGATAAATAGGGGAATGTCATTTTTCCAGAACAACAAAGTATCTTTGTTTCTGACTCATTAAGTTACTTTTCTACATAATTACACTCACTCATTTCTGACTTATTAAGTTACTTTCTTGTATAATTACATTAACTCAACTACTAAAATCTTTTAATCTTTTAAATGCTTAAATAAAAGGAGAAAAACTTTGCTCCTCATCACTCTTCTAGTACAACTTGAGACAAATCCATAACCCAAAATATCAACCTTTGAGCACGCCACCAGAAGAAAAAGAATCCCTCAAATTGAGACCAAATCCCAAAATTAGATGGCCGTTGGAGCGAGGTCTGAGGACTCCGCAGGCTGTGACTAGGAGAGATGTTTTTGAGTTAAAGTACTTTCCAACGGGCCAACAATAAACTATAAAATAAATAACAAATGAATAAATAAAAGCAAAGCAGTGACTGCAAGAAATCAAGATAAACTTCTTAAAGGATATTAAAACAGACTGATTCACACTATACTACAAAACAGTCAATAATAACCACATGAACAGTTTTTGCAGTTTACAGAAGACTGCAAATAGAGAAAGGAAACCAACAATACATTGGACAAAGCAACCGTTGTATTGCCCCGATCCGCATAAATGAGCATCTATCCCAAGCTCCCGCAACTTCCTTTCAAAATCTTGAAATGCGTCCTCGACATCTCCTCCTCTGGATTCTCCTCCAGAAAGTCTTCAGAATGTAAATATAAATGTCAGTAACCAAAAGACTCCTATACAGCCTCCAAGCTTCTCAATAGAAAGCAAATGTCAAGATGACCTTACCTGGCCTAGGGACTTCAGAGTCAGAAACATAAGAATAACCATTAGTCCTGAGTGATAACGGACGAATACTCGAACTAGTTTTTAAACAAAATAGGAGCCTCTGGGAGTGAAGGAGGTCCCTCTGAGACGAAAAAGTCGTCCGCTTTGGAAAAGCTGGGAAATGCAGCAAGCTTCTGATGCTCATGAGGCGGATATTTGAGGACAAGAGAGAAAGTCTAAGAAGAAGCCTATGTTGATAGAGAAGACCCATTTCTTGGAGAAGATATCAATGGCTTAGTCCGGTGAATCTGCCTGTTACTCTACGACTTCCATCAACATGCCGTACAAGTGTGAGGGTTTTGGGGCGTGGCAACTAACCCGCCTTGTTCGTTCGTCCTATACGTTCTCTCTCTTGCAGAGTTGCGGTGAGCATTTCCCTCAACAAGTCTACTTTATTCAATAATTTAAAGGATGAATTGGAAAAATTATTTCATAATTTTTTTTATTTTAAATTAGATATCGTTTTTTGGTTATTTTGTTTAATCAATTCTTATAATTTGATACATTAAATATTTATATTAAAATTAATAATAATTATTAAATTTTCTGAATAAAAATAGTTTTGAAATTTATACAAAATTTATTTAATACTTTTAACTAAAATAAAAAAAATTTGATTTAATACACTATTTACATTTTTATGAACTTTTTATGAAAATTATATAAATATAAAAAATATTTAAAAGATAAATTTTGAGTTATAAAAATTATATAATTAATTTAAAAATATAAAAATTCTTAATTTTGTTTTTTAAAAAAATTAAGGATTTTTATTTTTAAGGGTTAAAAAATTTAGGGGCTTTAGCAATTTAGCCAATATTATATGATTAAATAAAACTAATAACCCACCTTTTTCCTAAATTAAAATAATGGTCGTTTTTTAATTTACCTTTGATATAAAAGACAAAACTATCCTTTTGCATCACAATACCCTAATTTTCCCTTTTCACACTGGTTTTGCTTTCACCCACCCAAAGATGTGGAAACGACACTGCACTCTCGGTCACAATGACAAAAAAATTGATAATAGACAACGGAACAGCTCATATCAATGGATAAATGGAGTTAGAGATTCAGTTAGGAGACTACAAGAACACAAGGCAAGGAAGATTGGAAGTTATAAATTCAGGTTGAAAAAATCACAAATGTAAGGTGAGGAAGTCCAAATTGCAGCTTCTACACAAAGCCACACAAAAGCTGTAGATCAGGGTGAGGAAGTTTGGTTAGACTTTGTTACAAAAGTTAGAGTTCAAGCAAGGGTTTCCTGAGATTTTATTTAATCTGTTTTGAGAAAATGATTATATGTTTTTTATGTTACTGATCTGTGACATTACATTATTGATCGACTGTATATCAATTATAAACAAGTTTATGTCTAATTTGTCTGATTATATTGATCTACAATTGTATATTAGTGATATAAAATTATATATCACTAATATATAAGCCATATCAGTGATTTTTAACTTACCAATTGTTTATCATTTATATACAGCCGTATATCAATGATATAGTATCGCAGATCAGTAATAGAGTTTCCTTTTTAATGTCTAATGTCCTCTTCGTAATATCTAGGAAAAACAAAGAGAGAGAAAGAGAAAAAAGCTCTGTGATGAAAATGATGGTCCAAAAAAATTAGATAAAAATTTTGATAAAGAAAAGCACTGTATGAGAGATGAATATGATGATCAAGAAAAATTAAATCCAAAAATATGATGAAAAAAATATTTAAAGATGATAAATCAGATAGGGAGCACACACAATATGATTTTTGATAACAAAAAAAAGATCCAATCAGCTAAAGATTAGTTAATCAAATATATTTTGCTATAATAATAAATTTTTTCTAAGGATAAAAAGAAAACACATCTAATTGATTTTATGAATGAGCCATATTTTCAAAAATTTAAAAAATCTCATCCATAAGTTATGGGGTATTTTTTGAGGCCATTGAGCTAATTTTCTCAAAAATTAATTGATCAAATTATAAAAACTCAATTAAATGAAATAAATTGTAACAACCTAATTCAAAATTTAAAAAAATATAAAGACTTGCAAATATATTTTCCCAATGTAATATAATTATCTTATATTATATTTTTTATTGTAATTCTATTTCTAATAACAATAATATTATAAGATGATCTATCTAATCAATTATTATATTATGGTATTGTAATTATAATTATATAATTTTTTATATTAAATAAAATGTTAAAATTAAATTATTAATCTTTTTGGGAGAGTGACAAAAAAAAGACTCCAAAATATACAAATGACAATTAAGTACCATAAAATGTGATAATTATTAGGGTTAATGAGCATTCTAGACCTTAAAATATTATGCAAAACGTGTACTAAACTCTAAACTCCTAAAATGTGTAAAATGAATCCTTAACTTTTAAATTTATAACAAATTACCCCCACCATTAACTATTTCTTAATGCTATTACTATTCACCGTATTCTTAATGCTATTACTATTCACCGTGGGACCCAGTTAAATGTTAATGTGGCAGTCCCTTATTGATATCTCATTTGTTAATGAGCATTATAGACCCTAACTATTGTGTGAGTAGCATCCTTGACTCTAAAATTTGAAATTTTGAGAAAATTATTCCCACCATTCATGTATAGAACATTAACTATCATATATGCTAAATTAGCCTCAACGTGGTTCACTGTGGTAAACGCAACATTGATTGTAGCGAATGACCCATAATTTTATGAAATAACTTTTTTGCCCCTTTTTTGCAATGTTTTTCAAATAATCGGTATCTCATACTTTCATATATTCTATAATTTTAATTTAGTCTTATTTTAAATAATGTTTATTTATTTAATGGTGAAAACTTGGGATCTCATTTGAAAAGAAGTTTAAGTATCAGAGGATTTTACAAACGACAAATGTAAAAGTTGACGATTTTATCAATGAATTTAAAACTCAAATTAACCAGTTACTTAAAATCCTTTGATATTTAAACTTCTTTTCAAATGAGATCCCAAGTTTTTACAATTAAACAAACAAATAAATATTATTTAAAATAAGATTAAATCAGAGTTATATAGTGTTCAAAAGGATAAGATATCAATCGTTTGAAAAATATTGCAAAAAAAAGGGAAAAAAAATCATTTCACAAAATTATAGGTCATTCTTCACGGCCAACGATGCATTCATTACAGTGAACCACATTGAGGCTAATTTGGTTTATATAATAGTCAACATTTTATACATAAATGGTGGTGGTAATTTACTCGAAATTTTAAAATTCAAGGTCTAGGATGCTACTCATGTAATAGGTTAGGGTCTGTGATACTTATTAACAAATGACACATCAGTAAGGGAATGTCACATTAGTAATTGACTGAATCCTATGGTGAACCGTAACAGTGTTAAGAAAGAGTTAACAATGAGGGTAGTTTGCTATGAATTTAACAATGTTGAGTTTATTTTACACATTTTAAGAGTTCAGGGTCCGGTGCGGTTTTTGCGTAATACTTCAAGATCCAAAATGCCCTTCAACCCTAATTATTATTTAGTTCCTGAAACTTGTTTAACATTTTAATTTTTGACAAAATTACATATTTATTTATAGTGACTATTATAGGGAATGACAACTTTGACTGTGTTGTTGACTAAATTAGAATGAAAAAATGACTACTTCTTTTTTGTAAATTGATAATTTATAAATGGATTAAAATTTGACTACTTTATTTTTAAAAATGACTACTTAGGTTTAAATAACAAACAACTTTGAAAAAAAAGTACTCATTCTTTATTCTATTTTAGTCAATAACACAACCAAATTAGTCAATTTCTATAGTAGTCACCGTGAGCAAAGATGTCATTTTATCAAAAATTAAAATGTTAGACAAATTTCTAAAGACTAAATAATAGTTGTGGCATTTCACAATACTTAATTGTAATGTGAAAAAATTATTTTTGTCATTTTCCCATCTTTTTAAATGGAATATTAGGTTTATTTAAAAATTATTTTTTAATAAAAACAATTATTCCCTGTATTAAAAAATATGAGGCATTTTTTTAGGTTAAATGTTCAAACATATAAGGTATTTTGGGTTTTTCAAAATGCAATTAATGATGCTTTTTCAAAAACAATTACTCCCTTAATTAAGGCATGTAATTAATAAAGTTTTTTAATTAATACATTATATTAAATAAAGATAAATATGAAAAGAAGGTGTAATTTTTTTATAAAAAAAGAGGGTGTAATTTTAGATACAATTAACTAACTAATTAGGGGTTTAATTTGATTAAAAATATCTTATAATATTGAATAAATGGAGTGAGTATTTAAGCCCTTGTACTTTTTTTTGAAGAAATTTATGTATAGGAACCAATCAAATTAGAGTTAGTTATTTTTAGAGTGGATTTGAAAAATTCACTTCTATATAAAAGACTTTTCACACCAACTTTATCTATTGGTTTGTTAAAATATGAAGTAAAAAAGGTAGTGATTTTTTTTATAATTATATGGAATACATTTCATATCCGTTTAGGGAACAATTGACATTGAATGTAAGAATTTGAAGAGAAAAAAAAATGCAACTTTCCATGTCAATTTGGAAAGTTTGAAAAATTGCAAGTTTCCACATCAATTTTGATAAACTGATGTGGAAACATGTTATCATATAGACTTTTTATAAAGCCAAACAATGTGGTAACTCAAGGACTTAAAGTTGGACTGTCCACCTCCTCCTAGTCATCTTTTCATATCAATTTCCCTCCCTTTTCTTCTTCCATCCTCCTTCTCCCTCTTTGAATTGTCACCCCCCAAACCTTGTCACCATCATCAAGAATTTCACTAGAGCTGGTAAGGTTAATTTGGGCTCAACTCGAATGAATCCAATTCAAACTTTTTGAAAAGTTTAAATGGTTAAGTTCGGTCTAAAGTCATTTAGGTTTCAAGTGGCACGAATATCCTTATTTTTATTTTTAAAATTAATTTTAATTAATTTTTTACTTTAAAATTAATTATTTTTTCATAAAAATATATTTTTTGGATACTTAAATGATATATAGGAATCAAATCCTTTCTAAAAAAAATATGTGTCTTAAAATCTAAAAGTCAATTTTAAAATATATTTTAAATATTATTTTTAGATATTTAATAAACTATGACAATATATATAAATATTTTTCATTTTTTAAAAAAATCTATAGTAATGCATTCAAATATATGGTATTTTAATATAAAATAACCTAAAACTTAAAAAATTAATTAATATTTATTATATTTTATATATTTTTTAAAAATATAATTTTTTTATTCTAGGATTTGGGCCAAGCGTAAATTTTTCAGACCTATTCAAACTTGCTTGAACATTAAAAAACTATTA